ATACTAATCTGTTCTCTGATGTAATGGATCAAATGACCACAGATGTACCAGATAATATATTATGGCATGTCAGCTTGTTAGCAATATTGAATACAAGATAGCCCTTAGCAGATGTTAAGGTAGTAGTTAGACCAGAGTGGAATAGAAGGAAACAGAAGTTTTTTTCTTGTATAAGATTTGTATTAAGATAAGCAATCTTCATGACAATTTCCATTACCCAAGATACTACTGATCTGCTAGCTCATTGATGAAAAGCAGATTATTATTCTGTCATCAGATATGGGTCAAATATCTCGAGAAGTGTCAGTCAATATGGACTGCACAGTAAACCAGAGTGGAATACAGTTTAATACAAAGAGGTCAAATTCAAACGCAAAATTGTTGTACTCCTGCTTAACAGCATAATCCTTTACTAAAATTTAAGGTTTATGGTCCATGTACATCCGCCCTTATCCGGTGTTACATGCTCATTAGCAAAACGCAGATTATTAATCTGTCCCCAGATGTGACGAGGTCAATATGTTCTCATGCGGCAACTCTCGTATTCAATGCATAACATTGTGAGTGGAGCAGGTTGGAGCAGAATGGAGCAGAGGTCCCTTAGAACATTGTTTGGCTGGACAACGACTGTTGTTCAATGTCGAACACTTGCCGATGTGATAATGCATGCATGCGAACTACCAAACAAACGACAACCTACAAACGACAAACGCGTCCCATGCGATTAATACGGGGACATTAGCGTTGTAATACGACACATCAAGCCTCATTAAGTTATGATATGCATTCTCTAAAATAGTACCAAAATTCAGTACTCAGTGTAGTAATGATTTAGTAATTGCGTAGCAAAACGTGCTTTAAAATAATACCACAATAGCGCAGTAATGATTCGGTTATTGTTATGGAAAGGCATTCTCCAAAATATTACCACAATCGTGTAGAAATGATTCAGATAATGTATAAAATGATATCAAATTAGTACTTATTGTATTAATGATTCTGTAATTGTAAGACAAGATTTTCTCTGTATACCCAAATTGTATTTATAAAGATGTATTGTATTTATAATGGTGATAGAGTTGGTAGTCAAAACGAACACTTTAGACTCCAATAAGTTTAATTTAAAAAAAAATGTTCAGAAAGGCGGTAGGGTAGTGATCAATAAGTAATGGTTTTGTTGAAAGCAAGCTCCATAATTATAAAAAAATAGTGCTCCGATTACTGATGATTCAGGAATTGCATGGCAAAACGTTGGTCTATTGGCACAATACAGTCCAACAAACGTTGGACTGTAATATTTAGACCAACAAACGTTGGTCTAAAATATTGGCACAATACAGTAGTAATGATTTGCAATTGATATGTCAAGAAACCAAAACATAACTAGCGGGGTGGGTGGCATCGTGCCTTATGGCAAATTGCTGGAACTTCCCGTACCGTAACGAAATGTTCGAAGAATACTGAATGTTTTCAAATAAATTATTATAAAATTGTCTAATATTTATAAGAATTATATAAACTGAATTGCAAAGTTGAAATTATTTGTTTAAAGTATATTAGAACTATAGTCAGAATTAAAATAAAACCTGAATAATTTTCGATATACAAAAAATTAAAAAAAAAAGGTGAAACAAATTTTTTTTTTCAAAATCAATTACTTTGTTAAGACAAGCAGAAAGTTCTTTGAATCAATTAAATCGGACGCTTAGTTCTCTCAAAAACTACCATTTTTTGGACATTTAGCTCCGTATCTTCGAAATGGCTGGGCCTGCCTTTGCTAAAAACTAATAACCACTTCTCCCAATCATTACTAATTGAATGTTTTTTAGTTCATTCAAATCGGATGCTCCAAAAACTTGATTTCTGTTTTCTGCGCTCTTTGCTCCGTATCTCCGTAACTGCTGGACCTGCCTTTGCCAAAAACTAATCTCCCTATCAATAGGAATGGAATGTTTTTTGAACCATTCAAATCGGTTGATCCGTGCGCTCGAAAACGTGACCGAAAAATGGTATCCATACATACATACACACACATCCATTTTTTCGGAGGTATGTCAAAATGTTCAGAAACCTTCAACGTCGAGAAATGGAAAAATTTTGAATTTCGATTTTTGTACAATTACAATAATTTATCCTACGGGAAGTTAATAAAATAAACATTATAAGATTAATAATTTGATACACTAGAATATTGATCGAAATAGTGATTGTCAATTCATTGCAATATAAGACTTTTAGAGATATAGTGCAGAGTACATGACAATTTAAAAAGGTGAAAAATGATGGTGCTTTATTATCTCCCAGACTTGGTACAATAATTTCGTTTACATTATTTTGTGTAAACATATTTAAACATATAAGTTTTATATTTAACAAATAACAATTTTAATGATAAACTTGATTTCCCGAAAAAATTCCAGCAAAAAGAAATTTATTAAACACGATTTGTGAATATCACAACTATATTTCTAGTCAAGAGTAAAATTTATCAATGGGTGTTGTAATTCGTCAAAAGTCAAAATGAACCCATTAAATCAAAATTTTTCCTAAATCTCATACTATTTACAATGATTCTTTCCCTCTAGTTGCGGTTTATATAAAAAAAATTGCCTAATAACTATTTTAATGATAAACTTGATTTGCCAAAAAAAGTCCAGAAAAAAGAAATCTATTGAACGCGATTTGTGAATATCAAAATTATACTTTTAGTCAAGAGTAAAATTGATCCATGGTTGTTGTAATTCGTCAAAAGTCAAAGTGAACCCATTAAATCAAGATTTTTCCTAAATCTCATATTATTTATAGTGATTCTTTCCCGTTGCGGTTTATATAAAAAAAATCGCCGGCTCGAGAATTATGATGATCGTCCCGACAGTGTTGCAAAGCCCTGGTATTTATGTGACGTCGGCTTACGGAAGATGCGCAAAACAAAAGATTTATTCTGCATAAGAAAATCCGGCTTGAAGAATGAGCGCTGGAACCGTCACGCGCGCCTTTTTATTCATCAGCCAACAACCCGTTCGCCTATTTGCGTTTTTCTTTGTGGCCTAGTTTTATAGACATAGCACCGATCATAATTTTACTTATTTTATAAAATTTAATACTCATTCAAATAAAATTTTGTATTAAAAAATATTGTACCAAATCAGAACAAGGCGACTCAATGTTTGATTTCTGTACCTCTTGCATACTTGTTAGGCCATGAAATCCTGCATGAAAAACAAATAGACATCATGTAATGTTTGTATTTTTTAAAAAATAGTATGCTAAACATTTTTACTTATTTTATAAAATGAAATGTTCGGTTATAAACAATCTGCATTCAACTATTTCAATCCAAAAACAGAGCAACGCGCTTTAGTATTATTTACTTTATGTTCCTAATTGAATAGTTCGCACACTGGATTATATATTTGCAATCGCATATTTGACAAACGACTGTTTATTAAAGGTTTTTTTTCACTGATGGTTTCTGCGTTTTTTTTAAATAATTTATCTGCAAATGTTCATGTATTTTATTACATGATAGTATCGTACTGTAGCCATATGATTCCAAGTTTAATACGACTGCTTCCATCTAGTATATTTGTCATTTTCCATTCATGCAGTAAAAACCGATTTTTTCCGCTAAAAAATCAAATCAAATTAAATCAAATTACATAATTTTCGTAAAAAAAACGGTTTTCAAAAACCGGTTTTGACTAACCCTAATCGTACATTTTTAAATTGTACATCTATATCATTTTACTCGTACATCAGCATAACAGTCATGTTGTGTACTATTTCCGTTGATTTTTTCATGAATTTTAGATATTCATTATATTAATTTATTTTGAAATATATCTACTAAAAATAATTAATTTGGGACTCTAAACGTCTGGATGTTTTATTAAAAACTAATTAAACGCAACCTAGATTCTTTAATGATTGGATGGATAAATGTTAAATTCAGGTCAATGCACGGGTCATAAAAATTCATTACAGTTATGGTTTCTTCAGCAAAGTATATTACTTTGATACTTAGTATCCTAAATCAAATGTGCCTAAGCGACTTTTTTGACCCATACAAATCGACCCGCTCTAATACACATCTATACTTGTTTTTTTCATTATTAATATTATATTTCAAATATTCATTATACAGTGTTTCCTTTATATTTCATAATGCTACCAAATAATTTAATTCATATATCGTCGACAGCTAAAAATAATTTAATTGGAAAATTCAAACCACAAACGGTTATTTTTGCACAATAGAAAACTACAATTTTGTGCAATAAATATAAATAACGTGTCCAAAATATTTAATATTCGTATAGTGATGCATCAACATGTGCAGAATTAAGCTTTCGAAAATCGATTGAAATAAATATTTAAGGCTACTAGGATTAATTTTTACATAGTTGGAATGTTGAACTTTATGTTTCATTTCGTTTTAAAGACCTGGTAGTAATAATTATCAGTTTCGGTTGAACGAGGAAAGTTATCAGTAATATTTTTTTTATTCATATTTAAATTACAATCTGTCTTATGATTAAAAGACATTTAGTAATTAATCTGAAACTTAACCTAGGTATAATGTTTTTAGAGAACCACTCATTGGTACGTTTTCTAATGTATGAAAATAAATTATCAGTAATAAATACAGGATTTTTTAGAGATTTCTTGTTGTTGATGTAATTCCAAAATTAAAGTTGAATATAGTAATGTGTTCAACTATAAAGTAAAGTTATGAATAAAAATGTTGGGCATTTTGTCAAGTATTTTAATTACTTGTGAATGACATTTTAGCTTCTAAGCAATCAAATTGTATAATACACGCTATTGTAATAAACTAAAAAAAACTTTGCCCCGTCAATTGATCTTTTAATTAGTTACCTCATAAGTACGAACTGATCTATAACTAATTATCAATATTACTATGTTCAGTTATTTGTATTTGTACAACTTTGATTACAAATTGGGTAAGGGTTTAATTTTATAGAGTGTAGTATGAAGACATGCCCACTACATCTGCAGATGTAGTTGCCTAGTAAGTATTATTGAGAAAAATATTTTCCAGTGCTTCGTCTATAATATAAATGGGACAATCGTGAAATGTTTTAGGATTACTGTCCTAGGTTAGTGAGAGAGATGACAGGAGCGGGTTTAACTCGACCCGCGGATAAATAAGAATATATCAACGAAGACCTCTTTGCGGATATTGTCGGACCTGGTGACGAGATATTATTTATTCTTAGCTAGGTATTATTATGCATTCAAATATTATATACAAACTAGTGGTGCATGGTATTGTGTCTTAAGGCAAATTGCTGGAACTTCACGTACCAGAGTTAATTACTTCTGGGAAAAAACATCAGTAACAATAAATATTGATCAATGATTAATAACAATTGTTTTAAATATTTTTAAGAGATAATTATAATTACTATATGTATATTTATTCGTTCATATAATATACAGTGGCGATCTTATCGCTCAATATACTTCAAAATGTTTACATTAGAAATAGATGCTAAATGAATCCATCTGAGGATATATTCCTTACGATTACAATAACGACATATATACATTTTAAAGCTGAATTGTAAATTTAAAATTAATATTTAAAGTATAAAACTTTGTATATATTTGAGAATTTAAAAAAAAAAAAGAAAATTTTGATATTTGCTTGAACCGTACAAGTGAACTTTAAAAAGTAAAAATCTTGGTACGGAACCCAAAAAGTAGTAAAAATATCAGTACTCATTTATAAAATATCTGAGAATTTGAATAACATATGTCTTCTAATAATCATTTTTGACCGCCAAATATTTTTTTATATACTTTTTCAACTGTATCCCTTCCCAAGAAATTTAACCAAATGTTCATATCGTCAGTACAAGTAAATGGTTTTTTGAATCATTCAAATCGGTCGCACCATTAAGTCAAAAACTGAATTACCATTTTTGGCACTTTTTGTCTCATTCCTTTGAAACAGCTCGACCTGTCTTCACCAAAAACTAATCTGCAAGTCTCTCCATTAGTAGAAATCGAATGTTTTTTGAACCATTTAAATCTGTTGATTCATACGTCCAAAAACTGTATCCAAACATACATATACATGCATCCATTTTTCCGAAGGTATGCCAAAATGTGCAGAAAGCTTTCAAACGTGAAGATATAAAAAAAATTTCATTTTCAATTTTTTGCGAGTACTATAACTTACCCAATGGCAAGGTAATTAAACTCAATTATAACTATACATTTTTTAACAACAATTAAATAAAATTTGGAATTGATTTTCAAACATGGCTATTTATCTTATGATAGCGACATTCCTTCATTTGAGGCAATGGCTGGTTACGTATATTTTTCCCTCTACTTTAAAATATTGATGTTAAATAAATCATGATTTCACTTAAATATTGGTGTTGGATCTTTTTAGCGGTAAAATATTGGGTCTCTACTCTATATTAATTATGTATATTAGAGAAAATCAAGTTACAAGCTGTTAAATTTTACGAAGTTAAATTTGAAACTTAGTAAAATGTGTCTAGAAAAATGTCTCAAATCATAATCAAATTGAGTAAAATGAGTATCCAACTTTAGATAAAAAGTTACGTATTCCAAGATAGAGTATGAAGAGTGTTATTTAGTAATTATATTTCATCAGAAAACATTACTTAATCTAAATATTAAATGATTATATTTTAATTTTAAATTATGTTAATTGTCAAATTATTAAATATGTTATCTATTATCATATAGTTTTATTCTAAAGTGATTACGATATATATTTTAATTACAAAACATTCACAATTTAATTTAATACTTTACTGAAACATCTTTGAATACCACGATTTCATTAAAATAATGAATAGAATCTGATTAAAATAAAAAAATCATTAATTAAATGTTCTTCTTTAACAGCTCTTGAAGAAAACTCGACGATCTTAGACTTAAAGCGCATAGACAAACGACACTTGCCAAGAGATTCCCAAGAAAATCTTATTACACAACAACAAATGTTGGTGATAAATTAGAATAAATTTATAGCAATCGTGTTTTACAACTAAGCGTAAAATATATCTCGATTTAAATGAAATCCGTGTAGAAAATTCAATTTCAATGATGAAAAAATCTAATGAGTATTTACTCTGAGAAACTAATACATTAAATGAATTAGATTAAATTTTAATTTTTTTTGTAAGTTATCAGCAATTATGTACTCTATATTATTGTCTATTTTAATGATAGCTTCATTGGTTGCTAAATATACACAGTAACGATTCACAGATTTATCATTTGAATAATGTAACACATATAACAGCATGATATGTTATAGTGTTGAATATGCTACCTTGTAATATATATTATAAAGTAAAGATTCTATAGAAAAATAATAGTGTCCACATTTGTGGAAAGCTAGTGAGTCTGTTCAAACTGAAGATCGTTATGTTTTAACCGTTTTATGTGACATTATTAATTAAAAAATTAATTATGTCACATAAATAAATTAATACTGAAGTTGGTGACCCTAATCCAAGAAAATCTAATATTAGATATTTATGATAAATTGTCATAATAAATAAATATATATTCAGAAAATACATTTAAATATATAAATAAAAATAAATCAATAATTATATATTCTTGATAAAATGCCACAAATATTGAATACTAACATCGGTGAAACAAATGTTACAATATTGAGTTTGAATATAATTTAAAATACTTTTTACTTGGTTTTAACTAAGATTTTTAACTTAGTATAAATTTTATGCTGATGAAACTCAGTAGCACCCTTTCGGATACATAGTGATTTTTGAGCCTTCCTCAAACTACGATTTCTATTCCCAAATCTGCAATTTCTTATTTATATTGCACCATACTTTTTTATCCATTTATTTTAATAGCAGCAACATCTTTCTCCTATGTGTGGTGATTTTATTAGATAGTTAAGTCTGTATGTTGCAGCAATGCCCCCTAACACTTTTTTCACTTTAGATCCAAGAAACTGGTATCATACTGCTTAGTATCAATCTACACGAGGTTAGGGCCTGGGACTAGGAATTACTGGCTCAAGATCATTACCTTTATTTTATATCAGACTCATACTCCAAAAGTAGTTTTTTCCGATAGTCAGATACAGTTTTCTCGTCATTGGCGTTTACGAAAAGACTTGTTTGGTATATTATATATATATATATATATATATATATATATATATTAGGGTGGTCCTTAACATGGATATTTTTTAATTTATTTAGCTCTAAATATTAACATTTAGATAGACCGCACACCAATTAAAAGTTTCTTATATTTATTGTTAGCATATGTCATTAAGTAATTCTTGCGGTATCTGTGATAGTATTTATGATCTCAAATATTATGAAACATAAGAATATTTATAAACCACTTAACCTCAAATATTTTGCTGCATAATTAATGTTTATCTATTGCTTTCTGTCCCAATGGAAACCGCCGTTAGGTATTACTTCATGGGGTACCTGGAATGCTTTGATTCTTACTCCTAATTATACTTTGCTCCTCATTAGTGTCATTCGCTCTTTTTATTTACATACATATGAATATACACCGATTTTAAAGCGTATAATGAGTTATTCATTATCAATTCCAGATTTAAAAATCAAATTACCATTCCTCCCAATCGAAGCAAATTTATTCAGACGGTGTGCATGTCCCATTTTTTATTCACGATCTCTGGACCACTTGAACTCCTTTATGCAGGCTGCTTATAAACTTACTAAGTTCCAGATCTGTTTCTGCATCGGCCTTGTAACCAATTCCCACTCGCCTGCATACAAACTGCTTGTAAGCTCTTGCCGAAAGCTCATGACTAGCAATGCCACCGCACGATATATATATAATTCGTAATAGCCGCGGACGATGTGTGGGATGTGATATAAATGAAAGAGCCGGGTAAAATATTATTCAAAATA